GAAGGGAGGTGCCTTCAGTAAGTGGCGCTGGAAAATGAGACATTCTGGAGAACAAAACAGCTCTTATCTCATGCCACATACCAAATCACTGTGAAATGCATGAAGCACTTTAATGTAGGAACTGCTAAATTAATTACCAGAAGAAAACGAGATGTTCCACCACACTCCCTGGGTAAATATGTCCTGTGCACGATCCCAAAAGGAAAGACACAAAAGCAAAATTAAGCAAATGAGATTGATCAAATTCAAAAGCACAGCCAGCGAAACCTGTGAAAGCCCCACAGGTGGGGAAAGAGCACATGGAAGCCACCTGTGTGACAGGTGAGGAGCCAAAACGTAACACAGATGTGAACGACGCGTGGCGGGAAAGCAAAGAACGCAGGCTTTTAAAAACGGAGGGAAGGATGCGGACATTTCTGAAAAGCATACATATATGCACATGACTTCTAATCAGAGAAAAAGAACATTAAAACCACAGTGAGATTCTCACCTCACCCCTGTTAGAAAGGCTATCGTCAGAAGGATAAAAGCGTCAAGATGTGAGTAAAATCTTTATGTAGTTTTGGTCAGGATGTGAATTAATGTACATGGTATGGAAACTGTACGGAGTTTCTCAGAAAACTAAAAACAGAATCACCATATGTGACGGCAATCCTATGTGTGATATACATGCAAAGTAACTGAAATCAGTGTGCATAAGAAATCTCTGCAGTCCCATGTTAAAAGCAGTGTCACTCACCCTAGGTAAATGTCAGCAGCCCATGTAACATCACTGGATAAGTGAACAAAAACTGTGGTGTTTTACACAGGGAGTATTACTCAGATTTTTGAAAGGAAATTCTGACACTTGTAGCAACCTGGATGACCTGTGAGGAGTCACACTAAGTGAAATAAGCCAGCCACAGAATGACAAACCTTCAGAGTGTCCTTAGACAGGAAATCTCCAAACAGCAGTGGACAGTGGGGTGGTTACCAGAGGACTGGGGAGAAAAGATAGTGATCAAACAGGAAACAGGTCCAGTTAGACAGGGGGAAGGATCTTTTGTGATTACACACAACTCTAATAAATAGTGCACTATTTCAAAATTGATAAAAAGTTAGATTTTCTATATTTGTATCACAAAAAAATAAGTATATAAGGTGATGGGTTTGTCTCTCCACAAAGTATACGTGTAAGGAAACCACATTGTACTACATAAAAATATAATGTATAGTTGTTTGCTAATCAAACGAGACTTTGATCGCCAACTCTGGCTAGTTTAGGAACATGCATTTCATTAGAGTTCTCCAAACGCAGCAGCAAAGGTGCTGTATAAACACCCCACAGAGCTGGACATATAATGTGAGTCCAGACATCCAAGCACACGTGTTTGTGAATGTCCGTGTGATGTGTGCATTTTAAAGACTCAACTCATATCTCGGTGTGCTGGCACTTGCCTGTAATGCCAGCTACTAAGGAGTCCGAACAGGAGGATCACAAATTCAAGTCCAGATCAGCCAACTTAGTGAGATTCTGAGTTTTTTTGCATCTGCACATTCCCCAGGAGATCAGGTGCCCAGGTTGGAGCTCAGAGGATCAGCACTCTGCATTGATCAACTCATTAATGAGAATGTGTCTGAAGCTGCTGTTGGAGGTGTGGCCTGGTGGGAAGAGGCGTGGCTTGGTGGGAAGGGGCAGGGCCTGGCGGGAAGAGGCGGGGCTTGGGGACCTAGAAAGGTCCTTCTTCTTGCCTGGCTCCTCCCTTCTCTCTCTGCTTCCTGCTTTGCTTTCTTCTACCAGGCCCTTCAGTCATGCCCACCCTGCCTTTCGAGCTAGCCAACCATGGACTAAAAACCAAAATAAATCTTTCTTCCTCTAAATGTCAAGTTCTGTGTCCCAGGTACAAGGAAAATAAAGTGACAAATATACCCTGCCTCAAAATAAAATTGTAGGGGGCAGGGAATCTAGCATAGTGGTAGAAGGCTTGCCTAGCAGGCACCAGGTCCTGGTTCAATGCCCATCACAAGAACACAGAAAGACAAGGACTCACACAGATGTGGACTGCAGGTCCACCATCCGCAAGGCAGCCTTGCAGCCCAGAGTTGCACGCAGAGCTGACACTGCGGTCCCGAGCCAGAATTCCTCTGCTCTGGGAAGCCTCAGATTTGCCAAGGCTCATACCTACAGGGGCCTCAGGTAGCATGGGTGTAAAGAGCTGCCTGGACGAGGCAGCCACATGGGCCCCCAGGACTGGCCTTCTCCGTGGGGAGGCTGTGGAGCACAAAGCCCAGGCCTCAGGCCCCTGCAGAGGCCAATGCTGCTCCTCCAAAAGGGAACACATGTCAGTTCTTTTTGAAGTATGCAGCTGGGCCGGCATGGTGATGCACACCTGCTGACCCGGGACTCTTGAAGGCTGATACAGGAGGGTCACAAGTTCAGGCCCAGCCTGTTTCAAAAGAAAATAAAATCTAAAAAGAGATAAGGTTGCAGATCAGTGGAAAGGCCTTCATGCCCCAGTACCCCAGCGGTTGGGGTGCAGCTGTCCTGGGAACTGCTGCTTTGAGATGCAGAGGCCAGAGAATTCTCCACTTGTCTCCATCTGCTGCTCATTCCTCAGCCTTGAAGGCACCCATGGGAGGCTCTTGCCCCAACTCCACGTCGTGGAGCATGGAGTTCACCTACAGAGCGAGTTCACCACAGTGAGTGCAATGCCTGGCACCTGCAAGAAGCTCCCCGGTGTGGGGGTGTGGAGCTAGAGACCTTCTGCATGAGGCAGGCACTGTGATTAGGCAGTAGAGTATTTCATTGCTAACCAAGGCAGCTGATAGTGCTAATTCCCATCATCTCTCCCAGCCCCGTGGCAGCCATGATTGTTACTGGACTAGCAGGTCCCACTCCCATGGTTCCTGACCTGCTGTCTCTCCAAGCTGCCTGTCAGGTGGCCACAGACCCCAGTTCTCTGTGCATTCTGCAGTCACTGAGCATGTCAGTGTCACCTGCTGGGTTTCCCCACCTTCCAAGAAAAGTCCTGTGAATTTTCCGTGGTGCCAGATTCAGGTGAGTCCTCCCCTCACACAGGTGGCTTTCCACCTTACCAAGCGGATTACTGCCAGGGGCCTTTCCACGCCCCTCCCACAGGTACTATGGGGTGTGATTGACATGGCACAGGTGAGCGTGCAGTTCCCACATGTCCACAAAGGGCGGTCCTAGGGCTGCCCAGAGGCCACCTCTTTGTGTTTAGACAGCTCGAAAACCCCTCTCTACGTGGTGGTTTCTACTATGCTCATCTGTCCACACAGCCTCACCGGGAGCCCTAGACAGAGCTGCATTCTCTGAGTAGAGCAGGGTCTTGACTGTCACTCACGGTGGAATCTGCTACAAGGGATGTTAGTCCTGGCAAATATCTGGACAGTTGTGGAGAAAACAGGAAACAGGGCGTTGGTGGACACCGATGCCAGCATGGCAGCGGTCACCCAGCCCAGGAGCAAGGACAGGCAGGCATGGGACTGCAGCTTGGCAGAATGCTTGCACCAGACCCTTGGTTGAATCCTCAGCATTTAAAAGAAAACGGCTGGGGCTGAACTGATGCACCTCTAGAAGTGTCAGTGCACGCAGGGACTGGGGTTTATGTCTTTCCAAAACCAGACCCGAGTTGGCAAGAGGGGTCATTTCTTGCCATTAGCAGTGACAGCTGTGGCCAGGCAGCTTTCCTCACCACTGTGGGTTGGGAGTCAATCTCCTGTTAACCTTTTGCCCACACCTGCAAAGACCCCCCCAGTCAGGACCCTTGCAGCAGCCACGCAGGAGCCCTCCTCTACCCCAAATCTGGAGCTGACCCTCTCCCTCATCTCAGCCCCGCCTGTGCCCCCCACATTCGCCACAGCAGGCCACTGACAAAGCGTAAGCAGCACCAACCAAATGCAGCCTGGAGGGGGTGTTGTGGACGCTGTCCAGGCCATGCACTGGACGTGCTAGTGGATGCCCGTGTGGATCCTGCCGGACCAGGCAGAAGGCCGAGGTGAGGTCCGGCCCACATCAAAATGGAACAGACACGTGTGCTTTCCGGGGTGGTTTTCACACTCTGCATGAAAGGTTCTGTACACGTGGGTAACATTTTCATGTCTCACAGGTCACCTGGCTATTTGAGCAACAAAAGCACATCTTACCATACCTGACACACTGGGTAAGGGATTTCTTGCATCCTTCTCATTTCTTCCTTAGGACACAGAATGTGGCTGGGGAGGAGCGAGTGCACATGACTTCATTTTAAAAGGCAATGGAGACTGGAGGAGTCTCAGGTTCTGCTTGTCACCGCAGAGCATCTCTCAGGTCACTCCCAGCTCAAAGGTGCACACGTTGCATCTGCCTTGGGCACGGGGTCCTGCTGCGGACCTGGTCCGTGACGTACTTAACTAGACTCCACTGAACCTTTTGGGTTGGTCACCTGTCACAGCACTGTCACCCACACAGGGCCCACCTCTCAATTAAAGAAAGCCCTCCTTCCCACCGAGCACACTGATGTGTCTGGAGGCCTTTGCAGTGGGGCACGCCCACCACTGGCATCTCGGGAGATGCTCACAGATGCTGGCCACACGCTACAAAGCGCAGGGTGGCCCCAAATAATGAGAAATCCACAGGTCCACAGGTTGTTGGCAGGAGCACTTGGACCCGTGGGGCACCTTCTTGGAGGCAAAGCCACAGTGACAGAGGCCTGCTGACAACAGACGCTTCTTTAGGGGGCTGCACCCCTCTGTAGCTGCAGCAGAACTGCACAAGTCACTGTGTCCCCAGCCCACACTCGCCAGAATCTTACCCACATCCCCACATCACAGTGGAGTCCAACATGCCGGTGCCACCCCAGAGTCTGCCCCACTCACCTGGGTACCCACTGACATTTACTGCCTCCCAGAACAAGGGTGAGGGCATTATGTCCGCCCGAGGTCCTACAGCCAGAACCTCATGGGCGGAGGAACGGGACGCAACACCGCGCTGCACCGGCCAGGGGACCCCTGAGCCCTGGGGACCTCCACTCACCGACATCTGCCAAGCACTGACCCAAGGGGCAGGACCAAGGTCAGAGGAGAACCGAATTTCTGCACAGGGTGGAAGAGGGCCGAGCAGAAGCACAGGAAGGGGAAGCCACGCCCCCTGGTGCTGGCTTTTTAAGCAACAGCGCCTTTGCGCCTATGCTCCGCCTACCCCTCTCCTAAAAGCTGAGGGCTGGGCTTCATTTGCAAGTGCTGCGCATTAGGGGCGCATTAACGACCCCAGCTGTCCCAAGGGGCCCTGGAGCACTCCACGCCTCCCTATTCCATGAGGAGGACGAGGAGGACCTTGAGGAGAAGGCTGCCACCTGTGTGCTGCGTGCCTTTGACGAGCCTTAGCAGTGCCCACAGTTGCATGCAGGACGTGCCGCTCCCACTTGCAGTCTGTGGAAAGTCAGGGCCTGCTGTGCCGTGAGCTTGGGAGCCCTGGCCAGCGTCCATCACAGAAAGCAGAGCCACGGGTGTGAGGTAAGGAGCCTGAGAGTCACTCTACCTGGCCTGGAAAAGGTGGCTGAGGGCAGGAGTCACCTAGAGAACTTGTCCTGGCTTTTCTTCCCCCAGGACAACAAGGTGCCCTGGGTCTGTCCCGCCACCCGGGGAGCAAAGGGAGCAAGTAAGTCTCATGGTCCTTGTTTCTCACCAAGCTGGAGAGCAAAACCACCTCCAGGCCCGCGGCACTACCTGGCCTCTGGGCCGAGAACAGGTGCACCATGGTGGCCGCAGAAGTTAAGACTCTGGTGAAATTGAGGAACGGCTGAGCGAATGAGACCGACAAAACTGAGAGCCGAGATTCTGTTAGCTCCAGAGAGGGGATCCTCTGAGCAGGTGATGAGACGCCCGGCTGTTCGAGGCTCCCACTCTTCATGGAGTGGGGGAGGGGAGCCGTCAACATCATCATCATGATTATGACTCCAAGCCTCACCCCCACTGCGCACAGCGATCGAGCGAGCGGGAACTGCCTGGAGGTGAACCATCCCTTCCGGGCCTCCTCACGGCTGCTTTCACTCCCATTTTATGGACCGAATGATGCAGATGCAGAGAAGCTGCAAAACTTGCCCGAGTCCCAGAGCCGGGAAGAGATGGACAGAGAAAGGCACAGTGACCAAAGCCCACCGGGTCTCTCCACACGTTAGGCCCAGAAAAGATCCGGGTGGGTCACAGACGGCTTCACCATAAATGCCCAGGCCGCTGGTGAGGGCTGTGTCCCCCACAACTCATATGTCAGAGCCCAAGCCTTGGTGACAGGTTCAAGGTGGGCTTTGGGAAATGGCTGGGCCACAAGGGCGCCTGTGTAAGCAGGGACGCAGAGCAGCCCGCTTCCCAGCATGGGACAGTGCAACGCCAAGGGGCCCTCACCAGACTCCGGCTCTGCTCTGCTGGCCTCTGGATCTTGGACTTCCAGGCCCCAGGACTGAGAGGTAAAAGCTTCTCCTCTTTGTAAGGCACCTGCCATGGTGTGGTCTTAGCAAAGCCGGGGACTGCTCAGGCCCTCAGGGTGCAGCCCATCCACTTTGTCCAGGCCTGCAGCGCCCACACTGTTGTGACTTGCTGCAGTAGAAAGGGTCCCTATCCCAGGAAGCTGGGCGGGCAGCTCAGAGGGCGCTGCAGAAGGTCCAGGTCCCTGCACCTCCCTCCTCCCCGCAGTCCTGTTCCTGCAGAAGCGGCTCCACCCTCCCCTCCCTCATTCTTCCTCCCCTGGGCCAGGCTCAGGGACCTTGCAGACAAGCCCACGTGGTCCCCAACCTTGGGTTCAGAATAGAAGGGACAGAATGTTAATATCTCTCTGTCTCTGTCTCTGTCTCTGTCTCTCTCTCTCTGTGTGTGTGTGTGTGTGTGTGTGTGTGTGTGTGTGTCTTATTTGTGTCTTTCTTGACAGATATTAAAACTTGGATCTTGGGGTGGCAGCAGCACAAAAAAGTTCTTTATAAAACTCGCCTGTGCTGACTTGGAGACAGGCGCTCCCAAGAACCAGCTGTCCCCTGGGGTTACACGTGCAGAGTGACGGTGCCTGCACGTGAGCCTGTAAATGGGCACGCGGTGTGCGCACACCGTGAGCTCTGTATCCAGCACGGCATGGAAACACACAGCCTGCAAAGCACTTTTCTGTATTGGAAGAGACACTGCAGGTGCGTTGCCTGGAAATTCCACTGTTAGACCTGGCTAAGGTAAACAAGCCCACCATGCTGACTCCAGCTGACAGACCGCCCACCTCCCAGCCATTCATGAGCCAGCTGCTGCTGCTGGGGCCGGAAGCACCAGGGCCATAAGTTAATTTTTAAAGCAGAGGTGTGAAGATATGACTGATGGTGAATTCTGGGTCATAAAGTTTTGACACTAGAAATTTCCTTGGAATGTTCATCCAGGGCAGGATGATAGCACCCAGGCTCCACGAGAAGTGTGTGTGCGTGTGCAGGTAGACGGGTGTGAATGGTGGGCGGTTAGGTGGAAAGCCCATTAATTTACTGCCTGGTGCTATTCGGCTTGCATACCACATATCAATCAAGAGGGCGGAACAGGGCCGGAACTCAAGACACTGCGGAGAGAAGCCAGTCATGCTGGAGAATGTAATCAAAGCTTCCTGCACTTGATTTCAGGGCCTTGGGAACCTCCAAATTATGTGCCCTGGGAGTGGAACACAACCTAAATTTGCAAATAGATGGAAATTCTGATTCTCACTGGTCTTTCAGCCAAGAGCGTGGATGAGTGGGTTGATTAATTGATTGACCGTGACTGGTAGCAGATCTGGGGGAAGTCCAAGAACAGTCAGCGAACTGTGCAACTGTCTGCACTTTGGACTGCCTTACAGGGTGGGGAGCCCTTTGTTGGCACACCTGAGTGAGGACTACTGCTCGTCTAGGTCCTGTTATTCCAAGCCCTGCCCTGAGGGCGAACAGTACAAACCCAGAGCTGGAGCTGTGCAGGTGGGAGCTTGGGTTCAGGTTCCAGGCTGGCATCCATTAACTGTGAGGCCTTGGCCCACACATGTGGCCACCCTGTGCCTCAGTTTCCCCTTCTGTAAGGAGTGATGTCACCAAGTTGTGGGATTGCTTGATAATAACCTTGAATCAGTGCCTAGTGTACAGGAAGCACCCAATAAATTGGGGGGGCACTGTCATTGTCTAATAAGTGTGCCCCAGAGTAGGGAAGGAACTTGTTTAGGGTTACACAGCCAAAGGGAGACACGGTCTAGACAGTGGTTCTCATCCAGGGTGACTCTGCCTCGTGGGGGACAGGTGGCAGTGACTGTCACCATTTTCAGTTGACACACCCAGACATGCATCTGGTCAGCAGAGGCCAGTGCTGTGACTAGACATTCTGTACACATGAGAACTAATATCTAGCCCTCCAGATACAAGCTCCCTTAGTGTCTTAAATCCCTGCCGTTTCAGAAAAGGATGACTCTGCCCCCTTTTACTCCAGGTACAGGTCTTCCACCCTGTCCCTCCCCACACTAGCAGGAAATGCCTCAGACATGGTAGCATTTAGGGTACAGTGTCAACTTGCCCAGGAGCTCCGCGGGGCACAGTTATGAGTGTATCAGGGTGAGTTGTGGGCTGCGGCCTCGAGGTCTATATCTGCTCCTCACCCACCCTCTCCGCCCCTGCTCCCCTGCCCCTTTCCTGGCTACCATGAACTAAGCAGCTTGGCTCTGTGGTACCCTTCTGCCATGATGCTCCTGCCTTGGAGCCAGCTGACCAGCGACCGAACCCTGCAAAACCGTGAGCCAAGTTAAGCCTTTCCTCCTTCCAACTATGGGTGTGAAGTATTATGTCCTAGCAGTGGGAAAGTTGGCTAATACACAGGGCTCTACGGTCAGCCTCTGGGAAACAGAGACCTGTGCACACTCCTCACCAGAAATGATGGAGTCATTCAGCGCCTCTTCGTCCTGATACAAAAGCAAGTCGTCCTTGAGCTCGGAATTCAAGATCAAGTTCTCTTTGTTCTCCTCAGACTCTTTAGCTGCAGTCCGCTTGCTCTCCAAGGCCCCGTCAAAGCTCCACGCCTCCTCCCTCTCCTTGCCGCGCTCCATGCTGGACGTTCTGGAGAGGTGGACATCTGCCCGCTTCTTGGGGGACCCTTTGCTTTCCCGCCCTTGAAAGCTAAATCAGAAGAACATCTTGGGTTATACACCACTTCCTTCTCCCAGGAAACCAGGAAATCAACTCAGGGGCTCATCATGAAGTGGGTAAACGTGGCCACAAATACATGTAGCTTCTCAGCTTGTGTCCACAGTCCCTGGGCAAAGAGCTCTAGAGAGATCACAGGGCTTAGAGGCCCAGGGAGTTCAAAGACACCATTCTGCAAAGCACAGGACACGTGTAATAAAGCATGGCAATGCATGTGCAGGAACACGCAGCTGGGGACCTCAGGAGAATTGAGGAGGGTCCTGTCCATCCAATATCCCACCAAACCACACATGAACTCTGCGCCCTGCTTGGCCAGCAATGATGCCCTTTCCTTAGCCTCAAGCCACAGTGATCAAAATAAAGATGTGGCAGTGGACACAGGGCTTCAAAATAAAGAGGAGAGGGTGACATAGAAGCCTCGGGTCCTGAACAAAGAAGACAGCCCCATCTCTCCCAGCCACTGCCCCTCAACCTCCTGCCACACCCCAACCCAAGGGCCTCCTGGGGGTCACTTTCCCACAGCCACGACCCTGCCCACCCCTTCCTGGAATGGGGGAACCAAGGCCAGCAACACAATCTGAGTGAAAATACGAAGCCCTTGTTCAGAACTTGTTAGAAAATTTCAAGGTGGTGACAGCAGAGCACGAAACCCAGCTGGCCCTGGTGGGAACCCTGGTGGGAACCCTGGTGGCACAGATGTCCCCTGCGGGGACAGGGCCTCACCTGTCCTGGCGGTGCTTTGTGGCCAGCGCCCTGTGCAGCTCCTCTATGACGCGACTGGGCGGCAGTGGCCGGTGGACAGCGGTGAGATGCGGGGACCCTGTGGGCGTGGACAGCTGTCCTCGGAGGGGCGGGTCAGAGCTCTTCACCCCAGGACCTTGGAAGAGCACAGCTTGGCCTGGACACGGGGACAGCCAACACGCACGTGAGACTTTATCCAGAACCAGCGCTTTGCTGGGAGACGGGAGTGGACCGACAGAGAGTGCACCCTTGTGCTGCCACAGTGCCAGACCCCACGAGGACCCAGGCCCCGCTGCAGAGCTGGTGACCAGAGCTGGCATCTCCTTCCAGTTCCCACCTGCTGAGCACCACAGATTTCAGCACCCACGTCTTCCTGGCAAGGTCCTGGGAGAGGACAGAGGAGCCTCCTCCGCGGCTCTGCCAAGCATGGGCTTCCTGGAGCCACACTTTGTGTGGGACCCCCGCGGCCTCTCCAAGCTCTGCAGTAGCCTCTGCCCTCCCCACACCATCTTGTCATGTGCATCCCCACTCTGCCTCTGCCCTCGCAGAGATGGGGGCCTTGCGGGAAGACAGTCCACCCCCACTGTGTCCATCTGAGGTGATGCGAACTCCTGACCCAGGCCTGAGGCACCTCGGCTGCCCTGCCTTCCCCTACGCCCCTCTCCCTTCTAGTCCCCAGAGGCAGCACCCTGTCTCCACACTGGGCCTCTGCATCTGCTGTTCCCCTGCCTGGGATGCTTTTCCCTTCCCCTGGAGCAATCCTCCTCCCTCAGCATCACAGACGGCCATGAATCCATCCTTGATTGGAGCCCTGACAAGGAGCTCAGATGCCTGAGGCTGCCTCCACCATAGGGATCAGTGGCTACCTGACACCCCTTTCCCCAGCAGGGCTCTCTCTGCAGGGCCTGCTTTCTTGCCCACCTAGGAGTCTCTGGGCGCCCTGGCCGGTTCCTCATTGTGAGTTCTTTAATGCTAGCTCCTAAAATGTGTGCAGGGGACAGTTCTTTATGCAACGTAAATGTGAAGACAACTCAGCCGCACTCACAGAGTCAGACACAGCGAGGCCTCTCTTCCTCCTTCCACAGATACTCCCTGAACTGGAGCTGGAAGCCAACCCAGGCGAGGCCATGGGCCTGCAGAGAGCACCTTGCTGTTCACAGCCGTGACCTCTAGTCTGGACCCGCCACCATCCACCTGTGTGACTCTGGGACCCCGGGGCTCAGCCCCTTTCTCTGTCAGGTGAGCCATGGGCCCCCAGTATTCTGTTCCCAAGGGACTCTCGGCGGGGTGATTCCAACAAATCAATTTGATTAAAATCCCAACAGGAAGAAAAGGGGCCTAAGTGACTCTGAATCACACCACCCCGCTGCAAGCCTGGATTGGGGGCAGCACCAGTCACCGTGCATCTCCCAAAGGCAGGAGGGACGTCGCACCTCTTGCAGAGGACCCCATTGTTTAGCTGCTGTAATGAGTGCCCAGCCCGGTTTTTCCAGGCAAAGTCAGGTCAGGAGCTAACAGCACAGGCAGACACAGAGAGAGAGAAAGCAGAGCATTTCAGGGAGGGAGAGTGGGAAGGAGGAGAGGGAGAGGGTTAGGGTTAGGGCCAGGAGGTGAGGACGCCCCGCAGAGGGACCTGAGTGCTGAGATGGAGGAGGTGGCAGCACAGCACTGCGTGGCCCCACGTGGCAAGCCAGCGCAGGACAGCACAGGGTTCCAGGGGCACCTCCCTAGGGTTGGCCCTGCTCCACACGGTGACCACATCCTGAGCACCCACTGGGGACCCTCAGTGTCACCGGCCCCTCTGTTGCTGTCCAGAGTTGCCCCTATGCCTTGCTCAGCTCTATGAGAAAAGTTTCAGCAGACCCAGTGCCCATGGGGAAACCGAGGCTGGACGGCTTGCGGCAGTCACTCAGCTCGGCTGAGCTGTGATAATGCCTGGGGTCTCTGTGCCACCTCGAGCTACCCTGTGAAGGCAGGAAGCTGGGGTTCGGGGCAGATGGCCGAGGGTCGCATGGCTCGGGTGCTAGCCAGCTGGGTCCCCGGGGGCCCTTGCAACCATGCAGACTGTCACCAGCAGCCTGGGCAGGGCAGGCTGGGTGTCGGCGAGCTCTTCACCTGCACTGGACCCTGCAAAGGCCATGGGGAATTGGGCTCAGCAATGGACTGGAGAGGAAGGACCGCAGACTGGAGCTGCTACCGCCTGGATGGGCCCTCTAGACGCGAAGACCTTTCAAAAGAAGAGGCGGCAGCTGGCCCAATGGGTTCTCCAGAGCCACAGGGGTGTTGGGGAGAAACCGGGGTTTCTGCTTCTCTGCTGCCATCTAAGGGCCACAGGTGGAAGTGCCCACTCCCCCCAAGGAAAGGAAGCTCGGGGCACCAGGCAGCAGGAACCTGGTTCCAGGTCACCCTGAGATTCCCTGGCCGTGGCACCCAGAGGCTCAGCCTCATTTCCAGGGAGGTAGGAAGCGGATATAGGGCACCCATTGGCCCATCTGGCACCGCTGCTGGCCCCTGCTGTCCACCAGGCCGAGGGCAGAGGTGAGGGCCAACCAGTGGGCGCCATGCTCCTGAATCCTGGGCAGCTGAACCACCACACATGGGGTCTGCAGGGCAGCTCTCCGGTTTGAACCTCAGGTCTGAGCCAGGGGCCAGCAGGGAGGCTCCTTCAGGAGCTCCCAAGGGGTGGAGCCAGCACCCAGGCCTCTCCCCCAGCTGCATAGCGCCCCAGTGTACAGCTGCACCCCTGCAGCCTCCGCCTCCATCTCCACACACTCTCAGGACACTGTGTCCCCGAAGGGACCTCAGACCCAGGACCCGTCCTGACCCAGAGAAGCTCTTTGCAGCTTGGTTGGCATGGCTCAGGCTGCAGAGGCGGGCGACATGGGCCCCTCTGCCCACCCCACTGTGCGCCCTTCCAGCTACCACCCTGGGGTCTGGTGCTCTGCAGGCCCACGACAGAGAATTGAGCAAACAGCAACCAGGAGGGAGAGGAAGAGAAAAAAGAACTCTCCAGCAGAGAAGCAGGAATAGAAGACAGACTGACTCAGGAACACCCAGACAGGAAGAGCCCCCTTGGATGCTGCTGCACCCGCACCAGGGGGCTGTGTTCTGGCAGCTGCTGCCTCTGACCTCTGCAAAGACACCGCCCATGAGCCAGGGAAGCCCAGGCAGTACACAGTGGACAACACAGGGTCACCTGGGAGTCTCCCCCAGGGCCATGCTGCCCAGAACCCCAGGTACAGAACAGAGAGGTGAGAACCAGCCCAGAGTGGGAATGCCAGCAGGACAGCCGAGGGACAGAAGGGTGGAGGAAGAGAAGGGGAAGGAAGGGAGAGAGGGAGGGAGGAGACAGCACAGCACAGACCTACCTGGGATGGTTTTCGCAGCTTTGCAGCTGGCCTTGGGCGGCGGTGTGGGCAGCAGCGGGGGGCTGGGGAGCTGGCCCGCGCATCTCTCCAAGGGTCTGGGAGGGCTGTCCAGGGAGTCAGACCCGGCTAAGGCTTGAGAGAGCTCGTCAGGGGTGGGCAGGAGGCCGCCGGCGTCTGCTTCCTCCCCGCTGGATGCAGAAGGCAACTTGGCTGGTTCCAAGGCAAACACAGTGGAGAGGCACAGTGAGGGGCAGAGCCCGCGGGGTGCAGCGGGGGCACTGGAGCGGGCCTGGGCTTCCGGTAGGGTCGGGAGAGCCATCGGACAGGAGGCCTGGACACTGTCTCCATCAGGTGCCAGCAGCCGCCCCCTGACAGGCCCCAGGATCAGACAGGTCTGGGCTCAGGCCGCCTCTGTGCTTACTCTGTGGCCTTGGTTAAGTCAGTAAACCTCTCTGTGCCTCGATGTGCTCAGGTGTGACCCTGTGCTAATGACGGGAGCCCCTCACGGCTTGGCCCCAGGTTTAAGTCAGAAACAACAGTGAGACACCAGAGGACACACGGAGACCACACCCTGGCAGCCCGGTTGGCACGGGCTGGGTTTCAGCACCCTCACCCCAGCCTACTGACCTGGTGAGGGGTGGGGTAGCGAGGGGCACCCCCAGGAAGGGTCTGCCCACCTCAGGTCCTCATGCCTCTCCCGTTTTCTCCCCTGCATCCCTCCTGCAACAGGGCCCCACCTGCAGCTTCTCGGGGCTCTGAAGCCTCGGACTGGGGCGGGTTCTCACAGCTCCAACTAAAACCCAAACCCACTCCCCCCCCGAACCCCCAGGAAGAAGGGCAGCCCGGAGACAAGCCTACCCTGGCTTCCACCCTCTTCCCATCCATGGTCCGACCCCTTGCAGGTGCTCTGGGAGGCAGACGCAGGCAGTGCCCTTCTAGGACTCACAGCTCCGGACAAGCCGGGGCCCACCTGCCCTGGGCTCAATTCTCTGCAGTCCCAGTGTGGTAGCCAGAGTGTGTGCCCACACTTCCCCTCTCCTGTCCCTTTCGCCCTGTGCCTTGCTCCAGAATCCAGCTCATGGATGGGTCCTGTGAGCTCCACACCACAACACACCTCAGCAATGCCCACCAGGCGCCACCAAGTACTCCAGACCTCTGCAGACCCCGGCCACCACGTCCAGCCCCACTCTTGCCTGATCCTAGCCCAGGCCATTCTCTGGAGCAGGGTCAGTGAGCTGTGCCCAGCCAGATGGGCAGCGACCTCAGCGTGGGCTGTGTGGGATTTGCTACAGTTATGGGTTTGGTGCAGAAGTACTGGATGCCCGTCTAATGCAGACAGCAAAAGCTGTCTGGCTTCTCACTGATGGGGCTCTTGGACCACCTCTCACCCTCTGGGCTGCTAGACAGAAATGCCACCGACCTGTCCACACAGGACAAGTGGCTGCTGCGGCTGGAGTACTGAGCTTTAATTTTGTATCACTGCATTTAATCTAAAGAGTCCTGTGGCAGAGCAGGTCTGGGCTGCAGGGAGGGACACCTAGCGTGGTGTCGCTGCGTAGCTGCCCAGAGCAGCATGAGGTGGCCAGAGAGACACAGTGGGCCAGATCCAAGCTGGAGCCAGCAGCCTGCAGCTCCTGTGTGAGAGCTCGGGAGCAGCTCTCTTTCCAGAAGCAGAGAGAAGGGTTATCTATCTCCCGCTTGGTCTGGTTTGGGTTGTAGGGTATGGTTAAAGTACACTGCAGTTTAGCCACTCATGTGCTGTGTAGCCTTGAACAAATGACTTCACTTCTCTGGACCCATTTGCTTATTTTAAAAAATGGCATTGGTATAAGTTGATACTGTGCATGTTCTTCTGAGAGTGCTGGACACCACTAGGAAGAGCCAGGGGACTCCCTGGGTGTGGAATGTCACCTGCAAGGGCATTGTGAGGTCTCCTCTAACTTGCCCAAGACCCAGCAGGGGAGACAGGCCCAGATCAGGCACTCAAATGTCACACTTATCTGTGAGTCTGCAGTTCGGTGACATCTGTCACGAGATCAGCTGCAGCCCAGAGGGATTGAGCCCAGATGTCAGCAGCTCCCGTGGGTGCTGAGGTGCAGGATGTGGGAAAAAAATAAAAAGCAAGGACAGCACTGGATGAACAGCTGGCCCTCCCCAAGCTCCAAGAAGCCCTCGCTGTGACCTCAGGTTCCAGCTGTCATTGTGCAGTGATGTCCTCATTATGCAAGGATCTAGGCCCTCACTGAGGGTCAGAAGCCGACAGCACAGTGCTTGGCTCCTAAGACCACATCCCTGACCTTCACTACGAGGTCGAGGTCGGCAGCCCGCCAGAGGGGCCAGGCCAGCACCACAGACGGGGCGCCCTCTGCAGGAAGGCCCTACTATGTGCAGGGAGAGTCTGGGTGGGCACAGGCCAGGCCGCAATGCAAATGGAAAGAGGTTGCACTTCTGGATTTTTGTGCATGCTTTTTAAACATCTTTTAAACATTTTAGGGCTTTCAAACATTTTAAAGAGCGATCTGATGCCGTGCATTTAGTTACGTTGGCTCTTTCAGGAAAGGACCCAGTATGGCCAGGCTTCTAACATGTTAGATCCCAGGCCCGCAGCAGGGACAAGACCTCGGGATAGCCCAACTGAACCACAAGCTGCAAGGGACCCCATGTCCCATGCACTGTGTCACAGGGAGCCCTGCATGTAAATAGGCTGCTCTCCTTGGCTGCACTTAACCCCGAGGATGATGGCAGCCATGAACACATGCTCACAGGTATTTCTGAGAGCCCTCGTGCATCAGGACCGGGCTAAGTGCTTCCCAGGGATCGCCTAATTCAATGTGAGCAGCCTGGAGGGGCCAACATGCGACACCCCCACTTACAGTTGCTAGAACGGGCTCAGGGGTTAAGTGACTTGTTTACAGGAGTGCAGCTTAGTGAGGGGTTCAGTCATCTTTGGTCCCAGGCCAGCCTGGTGTCCGAGGTGCCCGCTGCTCATGAGGCCCCATCTCTGTGCCTTTGGGAGCTCCCTGGCCTGTGTGCTCTCTCCTCACCCAAGGGCTTCTGTCTGGGGCTCTTTCCAGGCTGAATGAGCCAGTGTGTGTTCAGCACTGAGGACAGCGCCCACCGTTCTTAGGAGAGTCCCCAAAGCACTGGGGTAGAGGGGCACTTCCCAAGTCACCAGCAGGGCCAGGATGGCTAATTGAACACGCCACGTGTGTCCAGTCTTTCTTAGAATTAGGCTTGGGCTCCTTAGATGCTGTGGGCATTCCTCTGTACTTGCTGTGCTTTCATTTGCTATACAAAGGAACTCATACCTTTATTACAATCTATTTAGGAAGAAGAAAATCTCTCCCACTGCCCGGAATGCAAAACCAAGACAGCCTGCCCCAGCGATGAGAAGTAAGCACTGTGACGTTACAGTGCTTTCTCGTGCTCAGGTGCAGCCCTGGTGAGGTCATCTCATGGCCCCAGGGGCTCGGGACTCACACGGGAAGCCACAGGTGCACAGCCAGGGGAGGGGTGAGGCTGCGTCCCCCATCCTGCCTGCCTGCTGCCAGCCTCTTCTCTGGGTAACTCCACTGTGCCCCGTCCTCAGGACCCAGCTGCCTCCTGCTGTCCAGTCCCAGCCCTGCCACACTCAGTCACGGGCTGACGAGCCAAAGCCCCTGTCTTTCCTGCTCCTTGGCCATCCAAGGCCACCTGCCCAGCCTGTGGGAACAGCCTCTCTATCACACGCCGCACCCGGTCACTCACACACAGCAAGGACAGGGCTGCCTGGTGGCACCGGATGCTCCCGGTCCCCAGAGCCAACAGTATTTGGTCTCCGGATCCTCCCAGATCGATCTCATCAGCCCTGCTCTCCACCTGTGTGAGAGATGCGCTCTGTGCCTGGCAGACTCCCTCCCCTTGAGCTCACTGGGCAGGTCCAGCTCTTCTTGAGGGTCAGAAGGCAAGAGCAGCCAGGGAACAAGCTCCTCCCCTCCTCGTCTTCCTCCTCCCCTTCCCTTCCTCCTCTTCTTTCCCTCCCCCTCCTCCCCTCCCCCTCCTCCTTTGCTTCTTCCTCCTTCACATTCTCCTGTGCCCCTCCTCCTCCACACAGCTATGGCCTCTGTACAGCAACTCAATTCCAGCACCCCAAGAGTGGCTAAGGCAGAGGGAGCAACCACCTTCCTCCTGGCCCTGCACAGAGAGCCCACAGGGAAGCAAGGGCCCCAGGGTGCTGGGACAGGGCTTCACTGACGCTGGCCAACAGAAACACAACTGCTGTCCCTGCTTAGGGCTTAGGGTCGGCCACCTGGGGCTGACCTGGGGTCAGTAGGGCCCCTCTGGAGCCACAGCTCTTCAGATCCCGAGTTCCCACAGTGTCCCCCAGCTGAGTGATAGTGGCGGGGCACAGGGAGGCAGAGCAGGCGCGGGGCAGCCATGCCAGTGCTGCAGGGAGGCTGCGGACAGACTGTAGCCACAGGAGGGCATCAGTGCTGTGCTGGTCTGGCAGAGAAATGTACCACAGGGCGGACCCCACCCGGCTCTGAGCAGAAGCCCAGGCTTCCCAGCCTGCAGCCTGGCTCTCCAGCCTCCACAGTGCTGGATAGACCAGGGCTTCAGGACCAGCCCCTCACTGTACACGGCGTCCTCATGGCATGGACTTGTAGGAGTCGGAGACAAGCTCCTGCTTTCTGGATTGTTCCCAAGGAGACTTCACAGCCCCAGCCAGTCGGCCACAGCAGGGTGGGAATCACAGACCCACAGGACAGGGGCTCTGGTGGGTTTGCGCTTTTCCGCTCCATCCTTCTCCTCCTTCCTCCCTTCCCCATAGCTTGCAAGAGCCCTGGCCTGTTCCATTAAGGTGGAGACCACCCCATACTACCTCGGCAAGAGCCCCTCAACCCTGCAGACACCATGCCAAGTTCTCCAGGGCTCCGGACAACCCTGCGGGACCCTGGAACTTCTCCTGTGTAACAGAGGGGAAGCGAGTCCAATCTACTGGACAAGAGGACGGGGGAGCCCCATGAGAGTCCACCATGCTGCCGCATTCTCCTGGGCACATGGGCCCCTCCACATCTCCCAGCGGAAGGCCACCTGCCATAGGCCCTCATTGCCAGGAAGCAGAACCCTACCCTGCTGCCTTGGGGACCCCTGGAGCCCTCCCTGGCCCTGTACCCTTGGGGGGCCCTCTTTCCCAGAGGGTCCCCGTGGCTGGGAGGGGCTCGTGGCAGGAAGTCACCCTGAGCACTCAGCTCTCACTTATCAGCTGCACCAGACTTGGGAAGAGACGGAGGGAAAGGCTCTGGCAGAATGGGCAAGGCCGCGAGGGCACCAAGGGTGCTGACTGAGCCCGCGGTGGTGCCTCTCCCACCCAGGCCAGGGCCCACGGGGACAGCACAGCCCACAGGGTGTCCGCCAGTACCTGCATCATCCGAATGGATATCCGAGGATGGTGCCTCATCCGGGGAAGCCTGGATTGTCCCAGCGGCTGAAGGGCTTCCCGGCTGGACATCGTCAGAAGTCAGGGCCTCTTGCTTGGGGGTGGCCGGTTCACTCTGTGTGGACCTCGGGCCCCCGTCAGGGCTGCACACTTTGCTCTCGGCATCTGCGAGGATGTGCTGTTATCAGCAGGGCCTCGCACTCAGGACCCTGTCCCAGGTGCCCCCTCTGGTGGGGCAGCTGGACCCCACCCTCCCCTCCCTCTCCACCTTCTGTGCTCCCAGACGCTGCACACCTAGGCCTCTGGCTTTTGCCACACACCCCCTTTCTCCACGCCTGAGGGAGCCGGGTCGCTGTCTGCAGCCCATCCCCTGCTCAGGGCCCTTTGCAGCTCCTGCAGCCCCTCCTCGATCTCCCAGGCCGCTTTGTCCTGGGATCGCAGAGAGCTGCACACGGACGGGCGTGACTTCCCAAGCGCTCTGTGCGCCCTCCTGCTCCCTCCCATGGATGGGCCAGGTGGCTGCTGCAGGGTGACAGGCACATGGAGCAGGGCCAGGCAGCCCAGACAGGTGGCCACAACACTGACTGCCAGGCGCCCAAGGTGCGGGGCTCATGTGTGAGGTGATGTCATGGTGGCAGCAATAGCACCTCGTCTCTGCCCCGCAGGGGCCCAGCAGTCACTCAGGAAGTGCTGCTTCCAGACCACCCACCGGGCATCCAGCACTGACTAGCCCTGGCAAGGGGGAGGCCACTAAGATGCCACTTGGGTCACTGACACTCTGAGGGCACAGAGATGACCACTGTGGCATCTGAGGCTAACAACAAAGGGGCAGAGCTCAGGGGGTCCCCAGGACCAGCTTTTGCAGAATGGTGACACCAACAGGTGTCACGGACAGGTATAAAGAAGGGCTGTAACAGCCCCTCAGGCCCTGCCTCACCCCGGGTCGAGCCTCCACAGCAAAGACAAGGTGGCTGCTTCCGTCACACAGCTGCAGGGCTACTGGGCAGATGGCGCACAGGGCACCCTGATGAGCCTCTATGTGAACCCTGTGGTCCCTGCTTCACTGTGACAGATATCACAGCGCAGAGTGGTAACATGACCCATGTGTTCCCACAACCTCGGGACAGCTTGTGGGTGCCCACTTGCGCTGCCCTCCCCCGACCCTGCCTCCCTGCCTGCAGTGACAGACTGATCTGTCCACAGGCAGGGTTTCCCTTTGTCCAGCTCAGCACATTCTAGGTGTGTCCCTGTCACTGCCCAGAGTGTGCCCCCTGGAAGACAAGCACACGGCCTCCCTACATGCATCCCACCAGCACGCTTTCTGGGTCCTGGCTCCTTGTGTATAAGATGGGGATGATGCACTGAGTGTGGTGGTGCACACCTGTAATCCCAGCACTCCAGGAGGCTGAGGCAGGAGGACAAGTCCTAGGCAACTTAGTGACTTAGAAAGACCCTATCTCACAATTTTAAAAAGGGGGCACACTTTCCTGAGACCCGGCACACTTTCTGGGTCTTTCCTATGATGCAACTTGGTACTGCTGGGGACCAAGGAAGCTCAACTCTGCCAGGAGTCTGGAGATCTGCACACGGGACCAGCTCATCAGAGAGGGGCATTGCCTGCCTGGGGGCCTCACAGAGGCCTCTTCCCATGAAAGCACAGCTGCAAATGCCCCAGCCTTGGTGGCCACATGCCATTTGTCCATGCTGCTTGTGCAAACCCTGTGTGTTTAAGGAGTGCCCCAGCCTCGAGGCCATAGGCAAACAGGTCCTGGACTGCATGGAAACTGGACTTTGCTGCTAGCCTAGCCCTCGATCAGGCCAAGACCTGAGGCAGCCGGGAACTCAGTGGCTCGGCAGCATTAGGGTCTTGAGGCTGGAAACCAGCTGCAAAGCCTCCTTGTGGTTTGCTCAAATCTGCATGACAGTGTCCACTTCCTGGACCAGGGCAGCACAGAAGGACATCAGAGCTAGCCTACTGCGGCAGTTGGGCAGAACAGCCCTGCCTCGCTGTCCTGAGGTGGGCAGCTCTGCCCGCTGCCTGTGGCGATCCACTCCTAGCCCTAAGGGGCCACTGCTGCTCCCACTAACAAGCACCTGTGCACCAGCATCATCCCAGTAACAGGAGAGCAAGACGGGCAGGCCCAGAGGCAGGATCTGCAAGGATCTGCCCTAACCCGCACCACCTGGGTTTGTGGTTGAGTAGCCTCGTGAGGCTTTTCGAGCTACGCTCCAACCTCCAACCCAGAATCAGCTCAATGAGAAGTTACAGTTCCCAAAATAGCCTTGGTGGCAGGCGGTTGCTAGGAAACACAGGCTGGGGCCGAGGCGGGGTCTCCTGCCCTGTTTTTTCCCTTGTGTGGCCAGCGACCTCCCTGCCAGTCTCTCCACTGTTGGCCTTCTTCTCTGAGGGCTGCAAAGGGGGGACAGCACAGACTGCAGTGCGTCATTATAAAAGAACCACCATGAACATGCACAAATGCACACACGCATGTGTGCACACTGAGTGTGCACAGCATGCGGTATGGGTGCACATGAGGCATGCATCTGTGTGTGCACACATGTACGGCTCCCACACCTGTGCCCGGGGGAAGCAGACACACTCACCATCATTGTGCAGTTTCCCAGGCAGCCATGTGGCTTCTAGGTCACTGAACACGGCACAGGGCAAAGCGCTCTTTTTCAATATGATAGAAAATGAAGTCCTTTAAGTTATTTAAGAAAACGCCAGGTTGATGTTCATGGGGACACGGGAAAGTCATTCAGGGATGCGAACTGTGTCTACAAGGACACCCACAGTCTCCAGTCTTGCCTCAGGTGCTGCACTGGGGACTGGGCCTGCTCTGTTCCTCCGGGTCACAGAGGTCTCAGGAGGGGACAGAGCGGGATGTGGGCAGTAGCAGGCAGGCTCTGTGAGGGAGCTGGCCACAGGGGAGCGCCCACCACCGCAGCGTGGCCTCACTTCTCCAGGACTTGTGGAAGCCATGGTATGTGTGTTAATTGCTTTACTTTTAAGATAAAAGATGTTAAATGTATGAGTCGTGTTTTGTTTTGCTTTTTTTTTTTTTTTTTTTTTCCTAAACTAAAACCTCTGTCTTCAGTATTAACAGCTCTGCGGCTCTGCTGTTCCTCGGCGATAAATATGTAGGTCTGGGTTGTAGTTTGGACTCTCCTCTCTGAAAGCTTTGCCATCCTGCACCCAGCAAGCCCCTGCGGCCCGGGGAGCCTCCCGGCTGCTGCCCACAGGACAGGCACCTGTGCCAAGCCCCGCAGAGCATCAGCCTCACGTCCCATGCCCTCTGTGCTCCCCTGAGCTAGGAAGGGGCAGCTGTGACACCGAGGCCCCCCAATACCAGTCGCTGTCAGAGACAATGCCCGATGAACAGGGCAGGCAGTGCTGACTCCAAGGTGCAGGGGAACCAGGTCCCCCAGATCCTACAGCCAGCTTAGGTCTTAGGGCTGCAGGTTGACTAAAGGCAGTTAACACACAGCAGAGAAACACAGGCCTCCACAGGAGAAGCCAGTCCCGCACAGAGCAAGCCCCGTAGCCCCTTTTCCTCCTGTCTCTGCCCCCCGATGCCCTGGCCTTGCTCATGAACCACAGATTCCTCGGGCCCTTGCCCTGGTGTAGCTTAGGCTCCCACCCTCTTGTACCTGCCTGTGACACCCCAGCCGTTCCTGGGGCAGGGAAGCAGAAGGCAGCCCAGGCCTCGCCTCTCTCCCTGCCCTTTCCCTCAGCCTTGCCCCCCATCACAGGCTCCCTTCACCAGCCCCTTCAGCTCCACCCTTCAACCTCACACCCACTGTTCTGGCAGGAAGCTGGTCCTCACTTCCTGGATCCGACCCTGTAGGAAGCTGGAGTCAGCTGGAAGAGCTTATCAGCTACCCGTGCGGATGCAGCGGCCACCCCCAGAGTGTTTTGTTTTGTTTGTTGTTAAGCTCTCAGCTGCCGCTCAATGCTATAGCACTCACCTAGCACGTGGGGGGTGCTAAGCCCCATCCCAGCATCAAGGACCCTCACGTGTAACAAACTCTGAGGACCAGGCCATGTGCTCTGCTGCCGCTTGGTCTCCTTGTGAGCACACCTCCCAGAACCCAGTCAGCCAAGCTCCCTTGCACGTGCTCAGGCTGCTATGCGACCCTTTGTCATAGCCCCACCCTAACCTTCGCGCAGTTTTGCTCTGGTTTGTGGGTTTGTATAATGCCCGTGCCCCCCAAGGGTGCACATGTTGGGAGAGCTGAATCCCCAGCACTAAGGCAGACCCTGCACACGGGGGCACTTGGGAAGAGTCTGCAGCGTCACCTGAGGAGTGCAGGCTGGGCCCTAGCGACAGAGCCTGCTGCAGGCCACGCCGCTCCTGGTTCCCTGCTGCTCAGCCACAGAAATAGCAATGCCAGGGAGGGGCAGGCATGCCGAGGCCAGAGGCCCCAGGCCAGCCTCACACCTGCCCGTGTACCCAGGGCTAAGGCTGGTGTCTACCTCTACTAATGCTTGGGGAAACCTCGGAGGAAACGTAACGTGTCCTGACTCAGGAAGGCCACCGGAACCTCGGGCATCTGCACACAAAGTTACACTGCACGGGACCCGGCCGCTCATCACGTGAAGCCCGAGGCTGCTCTTGCCCTGGGGCTACAGCCGTGAGCAGCTTGACAGCCTGCACGCCTGGCCAGGGCTTTTTCTTCCAAACTCAGGCAGAAGTTTAAGCCCCAAGGTCGGGTTAGTAGTTTTATGGGGGTGGGAGTGTAATGTGACCATGGGGTTCAGGGCGGGGAATTAGAGGGTGGCTAGGACTAGGATGGAGCCCCAGGATGGAAGAGAAACAGAGCACAAGAACAGACAGATGCAGCGCCCTGGGCAGGCTCACTCCCTGCCTCTCCAGCCGCGTCACAGCCTGGGGACTCCTCTGGCAGGAAGGCCATCGCCAGGACAGGCTGATCACAGTGCCATGCCCTTGAACCTCCAAATGGGTGAGCTCGGCGAACCCCTTTCCTTCGAGTGTCAGCCTACGGCAGATACTGCTTTACGGCAGTGAAAGGTGATCAATGCAGAGCCCCCCAAAGCCTGACTGCCTGCCATCAGGCCTCGAAGCCCAGGCCAGCCGGTCTGCTTCCTAAAGCAGGGCTTAAGCCAGCAAGCACACGGAGGCTGGAAAGGAAGGTCCACCACGACGGGTGCCACTGCTGCTGCCGCCCGCCCAGCCTGATGCTGGCCCCTGGGCCTCTGTTCTGATGGCGCCCAACAACATTATCTTACAAAAAGAGTTGAAAACAGACAAACCGCACTCCTGGCAGTTTTCCTCTTCCATTAAAACTCTCAGCTCGTTCATCTTTGACAGGAATTGAATCTACATCTTTCCTCCTCCCTATTCCTCAAAAATAACACTTTTTAGGTAGCTTTAGCCTCCCTTTCCTGCTCCCTGAGACTGAAGATGAAGCTTGTTGTAGCATAATCAAAACAACAGGGTTTGGAACTCTTGGGTTTCAGTGAAATTAAAATAATCCAGATTTCTAGTTCGGCAGTGACCTTCCACCTCACCTGAGTGAGAGCAGGTCACACACCCGGACACCACAGGGCCTGAGGCCAAGCCTGCCTTCTCGTGGACACCTGCCTCGTGGTGTTAAAGAGCTTCCCACGGAGGTTTCTCTCCGCTTGGAGGGAAGGGAGAGAAACGAGGGCAGAGGCTTCGGCCCATGGCTGGGTTTATGAGCGGCAGGCCTGGGCGTTCGAAATCAACTCCAGAGGCTTCTAAGGGCCAGTGGGGTTTTACGCAACTCCCTACCCGAGGTTTAAGACCTCACAGAACTAGCAATGGGGAGCTTCGGAGTCAGGGCCCAACTCCAGTGCCCTGCAATGACGGAATCCGTAACAGAATCTGGGAGATGTAGGGACGGATGCTGTCCAGTGAATGGTGCCCATGGCAGGAACCAGCCACAGGCTGATGAAGAGGGAAGACTTGCTGCCACAGACGGGACCTGGTGTGGCTCCTGCCACTCCCAGTCCCCACATCCCTGCCTGTAAACTGCACCCCAAAGACACGGTGCACAGCCCGGGCTGTCACAGATGCAGCCACATGGGATCCTGGGAATCTTCTGATGGCAGAAGTCAAAATAATGTCCCCAAATCACAGGCTAAAATGCCAGTGTGGAGAAACTGAAGACTCAAAGGGGCACCACTGCTGCCACCTGGTGGGAAAGCAGGGAGCACAGGCTGCCATCCTGGCAGGAAAGAGCAGCGCTAGGTGCCCACAAGGGGGCGCCCTGATCCTCGCTGACGGACTGTGCTACTCCAGCTCCAGACCAGGGCTGGGCATTCATTTCCCTGGCCTAGGAGGCTGTGAGAGTCCAGTCCCACACCTGGCCACAGGACGCCTCTGGTCTGCATCCCGACCTCTGATCGGCGCCCCGGGATCTGTGTGCCATTCAGCTGGCCATGGCCAGCACATGCCCTTGGTACCCGGAGTGGCCCCACTTACCCTGCTCCATCATCTCCAGCAGCCCCTGCTTGATGAGCTCCTCCCGGCCCTGCCTGCTGGCCATCTTCTTCTCCAGCGCTGTGGACAACAACACTCGGGTGAGTCTGGGCTGCACCCCCGGACTGGGGTGGGGCAGGACTGCCTGTGCACTGCTGGCCGGGCAGTTCCAAGCTGCCCCACTCAGCAGTCTGCGAGGCCACAAGTGTTACAGTGGCCAAAGCTAAGTAGATTCATGGGTGTCTAAAGCGATGGCTATGTGATTCACTCTGCAGGGGACCCAGGAGTACAGCGGCCCCTCCAAGCCACTTCTGTGACCCCTTCCCGCCCTGCCCTGACGACTGTGGCCCAGTGCCCAGGGACACCTTGCTGCAGCTGTGGGAGCCGCTGCTGACTGCCTCCCCACCACCCGCATCTCCCCTCCCCGAGTTCTGTGCCTCTCTGCCCCAGAGGTCTGAGCACTCTCCAGTCACTGCTGGACCTCGATGCAGCCCCAGCTGCCCGAATCCTGCAATCTCATCTTCAGAAAAGCCCTTCCTGCAGCTCCCTCCCCCGGCTGCATCTGCCTGGCTCCTAGTCCCCTTCTTCCCCAGTTCACTGTGCACAGGTGAACCCCAGCTTCCAAATGCACAGCTGCTGAAGCCTGCTCTTAGGGCAGCACCCCAAAGCCACCTGCTCTCCCCAGATGTTCCCGGACACACCCGGCCACCCCTGTCTGAGCAAGAGACCAGTGGAGGAGGTGGCTGTCTCCAGGGGAAGGGGAATCCGTCCTTTATTCAGAGGTGTCTGCCCAGCACGCACTGCACGGCATGTGCTGAGGTGGATGCTGGGGGAGCCTCTGGGGCAGGGCCAGGGCCCGGCCCCCTTCATGCCTGGCTTGCCAGAGGCACCTGGGAGTTCCTGAACAGCGAGACTTAATTGGTTTTCATTCTTGGCAGAGAGAGTTTGTCAATAGACTTCTTGAGTGGTTAAGAAACTTCATGAAGTGTATACCAAGGTGTGAAGCAAACCCAGGGCTGTCGGAGCCACCAGCCCCACTCTGCAGGTGCCATGGCTTTGTCTCTGCCATCCGCAAGGCCCTGGAGACTGTGCCTTTTCAGAGCTTCAAGGAAAGGGGACCCTGGGGCCCCCGGAAGCAGCAGCCTGAGACAGGCACTTTCCAGCCTGTCCCTGAGGCCCAGGACTAATTCCACAGGACCAGTGCGCTCGCTAATTGCTTTCAGCCACAGCTGACAAACAAAGGACCCAGTGGGGAGGGAGGCCCTGGGGCCCAGAGCCTCAGCTCCTGCAGGATTTGCTCCTTGGAGTGCTCAGCCTTCGCAGATCCCAGCGCCACGAGCAGAGCCCCTAGGTCACCGGGGCTTAGACCTAGGTGAGTTCCTCCCATCTCAGCTGTTGCCCTGCCCCCCAGGGAGGCAGGGCCACGTGAGGTGGCCATCCCCACAGCAAGGTGCCCACGTGCCAGAGGCCTCCAGCATCTTCTGGCCCAACACCTGCTGTCATGGCCCCTTGCACCTTCTGGTGTCCATCTGGCACATGGCGGGGTCTCAGGGCCGCACTGCCCGCGGTGGATTCCGAGGAGGCGGGGGCAATGGCACAGAGCTGGGATTGGCAGGCTATAAAGGGCCTGAGTGAGCGTGCGCCCTTCTGGTCCTTGGGAGGGAGGCCCGGGACACGTGAACCCCGGCAGAGCTGGGCCCCGGGCAGAAGGACCCCGTGCAGGGCACTGAGCCCAGGGCCACCGGCCACTCCTCTTTCTGGTCCCCGATGTGAGCCTTGGTGTAGGTTGTGGTGGAGACGTGGGCAGCCAGGCCAGGTGGCCAGAGGAGGGAGGTGCCGGGCACAGCTGGGCAGCTCGGCCCTCAGAGACCTCAGAGCAGTCTGCCCACCCGGCAGCAGTGCCCACCGGGCCCGGTGCCCCCACCCTTCCCCTGATGGGCACTCACCTGACGTTGTCTGCTTCAGCTTCTCGGTTTTCTTTTTCCTCCATTTCCAGGGCTTGAAGATCCTGCCCAGCGTGGCCAGCTTGCTGTTCCTCCTCACGGGGGGAGTTCGGATCCCTGAGACCAGATACTCGGAGCGCACTGCGGGGGTTCGGTCCATCTCATCTGCAGGACGAGAGCCAAGGGAGGGTCACAGGTGACCACCAAGTCACCTGGTTTCCAGGGCCTGGGGCCTAGGAGGGTCCTCAGAGTAGGGGACGCTCCAGGTACACACAAACGTGCAGTCCCCACTTGGGCAGTGCTGCTGTGGAGACCTCCCTCTGCGGCCTCTCGCCACCCACCCATAGGCAGCCTCACCCAGCTCTGCCTCCCCCACTGGGATTTAAGGATTTTCTAATGTCACAGCCCCTACCCCAGGATCTTTGCTCATGCAGAGCCTACATCTAATCTACTCTTCTTTCCAGATTTTCTGTCTCATAAAACTACTTAGCTAACTGTCACCTCCTCCAGGAAGGCCTTACCTGGCCCAGAAGAAGCCAGGCTTTTGCAGGCCATTTGATGGCCACTGTGGGCCCTGCCCAGCTCTCCAAAGACAGAGAGCAGGCCTGGCACCACTGCTGACCCCCGCGTGGAGCCTGCCCTCTGAGCCAGGCAGTTGGCCCATGAGTGGACACAGGGGAGAGGCTGCCTCTGGGCGCCTCAGTGCTGGAGAAGCAGGCCACGCTTGTGGAGTTGGGGATACGCCCAGCTGGTGGCCAGGAGAAACCATGGTGACCAGTGTGTCCCTCAGTAGAGGACAGGCTTGGGAGTCACCCTTCCTGCCTGCCGCCAACCGATGCAGATGTACAGATGACAAAGCCAGGGCAGGAGAGGCCTGCTGCAGGGTCACAGCCATGCATGTGCAAGGGAAGGGGCGTGTGACGGTGTGTGGGCGGGAGGGCCTGTGGTGGAAGCCTCTCCCGTCTTCCCCCAAACATGGGGGTGAAGGCTGGGAAGGCGGGGAGATGGGCCCTTCCCATAGGCTACTTTACAGCAGGTGACACGGCTGACTCTGTAGGACATTCAGTTAGAGCACAAAACAAAATTCAGCAGAGTGGGGAAGTCTCAGGACTGTGACAGGGACCAGCACTGCCTCTGTCTGCTGCCCGGAGCCCGGCCAGCACAGGCTGCCCCTGGGGAAGAGGCGCTGCCCCCTCCTGCAGCATCGAGGGTCAGACACAGCTTCTGGGGTTGGAGGTGGGAGGAGCTGGGCAGCTCCCCACTCCCATCTCCCATGTTCGCACAGGAGCATCCAGGGGTTTAGTGCACCTCACTGCCTCCCCGAGAAGGGGCCATGGCCTCTGGTCCCTAACAGGACCCTGGGAGCTGGAGGAGCAGAGCAGCTCAGGAGGAGGCCCCTGGAGTCCCAGGGCAGGGACCTCAGCCTGAGGAGGCTGCTTCTCATTTCCCTGCCCGAGCTGCCCCTGGGCCACCACCAGCCATGCAAGTCCACAGCAAGGCCTGTCCTGAGAACAACCGCATGTGACAGCACCCAGGTGTCCGTGGGCCCGGCCTCTGTGCCCAGCCAGCAGCTGCTGAGAGCACCAGGAGAGGTGACCGCCAGAGGGCTGCCCCCCAAGGGCCACTCTGCCTCCCTGCACCTCAGTCTCCTCATCCATGGGCCAGAAGTTGGAGCCACCCTGATAGGACAGCAGCAGAGACCCACGGTGACAGGAGGTGGCTATAAAGCCCGGAGACAGAGGTCGGCAGCACAGCTGAGATGCACTGATAGGGAACCACGTCCAGACCTCAGGGCCGCTTGGACAGGCAAACAGGTGGGCATGGGGAGCTTTCAGGAAAACTGTCATCGTGATGCTTATGTCACAGCAGTAACACAGCACACTACACAGAGAGCGCAGCTCATGGCTGTGCGTTATGTTATGCTTCCCTCATGGTAGAGCAGTGAGCTATGGTTCGTGTCCATCCCACAGGTGAGCAAATTGAGGTGCCACAGCTGCTTTTGTCAGCTGCAGATCTGTGGCAGCTGTGACCCCCTGAGCTGTGTCTAAGGAGACTGTCAGGGTGGGGGCCACACCAAGACGGCGGCACACAGCAGCACCACACTGTACCACTGGTACGTGTGTTAGCTATCCAGGGCTCACGTCTTCCCCTGGCTGGGGTGGTGGCACTGGGGAAGCCGTCCTGCTTGGCACAGGCTCTGCCATCCACTGCAGACGCTGTTCGCCTTCTGGGCAACTTCGCATCCCAGTGACACAGGCATCCCCACGCTGACAGCAGCACAACTCACAAGAGAGAAACCTCTGCAGCCACCGCACAAGAAAATGTGCTGCTTACAACAGAGTACTACTCAGCCATGAAGAAGGACGGCCGTGGGTCACTGAGGGCAGGGCCACCTGGAGGCCATACTGTTAGGAGAAATAAATGACCAAGCTGAAGTATCACACAGTTCCTCTTATACGAGAAGACGAAGGTTTAAATAATTTAAAGAACGAAATAAAGAATCAACACTAGGAAGCAGAGCTAGACCTTTGGCAGATGGGGACGGATGGGACCTAGAGATGGAGGAGGGGAGGGGAGGGGAGAGGAACTACACTGTGCTGCGTTGCTGTGCCTCTGTGCACTGCGAACGTGGGAATGAAAATGTTAACAGTAAAGAAACCACAGCGTTGCCGTCCCGCACCGCATCCTCCAGGCGGGCCCAGCGGCTGGCACCTAGGCCAGAGATCCCGCTTGCTGTCCCCGCCCTGGGCTCTGCTGTGTGTGCAGGGTGCAGACGGGGCTCTCTCCTCCCAGAACTGGCTCTCTGCGTCCCTTTCCTCCTCTCCCCTCCCCTCCCCTCCTCTCCTGTCCCACCCACGGGCACCAGATGGGAGTGGAACTGCCAGTCCAGGCGACCGCAGGAAGCCAGCTCTCCTGGAAACCCTGGTGCGGCAGGATGAAGCTGAGTGGGGTCCCCACGCCCCCAGGCCTGTGCGAGGATGAGGGTCACGGCTGAGCCTGGGGGATGGCAGGGCGCAGGGGATGTCCCCCTGCTCTCTCTGCCCCTTGCTCCAGTGTGAGGCTCCATGGCCGTCACTGGAAAGACACCCTGAGCCGCCTAGGCAGGGGGAGGGTGAGGGTGAGGGTGAGGAACCCCGAGCAGGGGCTCCAAGCAGGGCTACAGCAGCAGGCGCTGGCAGGTCCCCACCAGAGACCCCAGAGGGGTCCAGAGGGTGTGTGCATGGCCCGAGCTTTCCAGCAGCCCGGGTGAAAAGGTGCAGCACACAGAATAAACTGCACAGCAGAGTCCAAGCCTGGTTGCTTAGTGTGGGCTTTGGTGGTGGTCACAGCTGTATCCCCAGAGACCAGGGCAGCAAGGCTCTGAGCTGTGCCCCCTGCAGCAGATCAGAGGCTTGGGAGAGTGGAGCTCATGGGAGATGACCAAGCTAACGGGCTCTGGGGAGGCACTGTACACAGGCTGCTGGGAGGTGCTGCCGTGAGAGGCAGACAGGGCCAAGACTCTCCATTCAGAGCCCAGCATGGAGCCGCTGGAGTGACTTCAGCCCAAAAGCCCCAACTTATCCAGGGGCCAGACACCGCACGGGTCTGTTCCCCCGCCTGGACGTCTCTGCCTGAGTGGGGGTGTCACCCAGGAAGCCATGATGGATGCAGGGGCAGAGGACCCAAGTCTGCACACTCCGAGCTCAGCTCCCAGCCCCAGACTGGGCTCCCTCTCCTCTCCCTGCCCCAGGGCCAGACAGCCGAGCCTCCTTGGGTTACGGGGGGGGGGGGGGGTTACAGTCGGTGCCGCCAGGCGAGGGAGTGGCTCTTGGGCAACACGGGCAGCAACTGGCATCTGCAACGCTGGCCTGCTCCAGGGAACAGGGAGCTGAGGAGCAGGGACGCAGTTCCCCTGGGCGAGCGTGGGGGTGAGCAGGGCCTGCTGTGTGAGTGAGTGGTCCCTGTGTCACAGAGGGAAGGGACATCCTGGCCGCTCCTCCCAGGTCTCTCTCACCATGGCGCTGCTCCCTGGAGCTGCCAGGATGCTCCTTCCCACTGAGGCTGCAGCGGGAGATTCCGGGAGGTGCAAGTGAATTAGCAGGTCCCCGTTAGCAGGTCCCCCCACCAGGAACAGTGGTGCTAAGTGCTGGGCACTCCTGCCACCTCCAGAGGCATTAGCAGCTCATTACTGAAACACTCTGCTATGTGGGCAGCAGTTGAGGAGAGGCCACAGCTCCCTGCAAGTCTTCCAAGGCTCCCAGCAACGGGTGCGCTGACCCTGGACACCTGCAGCCATCTCTGGATGACCCCGACTGCCCCCAGCACCCTAAGACACAAGATGACCCATCCACGGACCCTCTAGACTGAAAAGTTGGGCACAGTTCTGGCTGATGCCACACTGAGGGCCCAGGCTCATTTCCGTGCCTGGGGCAGGGCAGTCCTGGGGTCATAGCATTTCCTTTCATCTGAGCTCTGATCAGCCTCAGTTGTCGTTCCAGGTCCGTCCTCTCCTCAGCTGGCCTCTGCCTTTGCTGACTGACATCACTCCGTGAGAACAGGCACTGGACCTTTCTTAGCCCTAAGCCTGTGTCACCCCCGCTGGGCCCCGAGACCCAAATGTTCAAATACACATCTGTGTGCCCAAGGATCTGGGTGCAGGACTACACACGCTGGCACCCACCTCAGCTCCCACTGCAGGACTCTAGTGCCTGCCTTTAGTGACCTGGGCACACCAGCCCCCTCACTGTCTACCCAGTAAGCTCTGCCAGCCTGAGAAGACCCGGCCCCGAAACCCAAGGGAAGGAGAGCCCAGGACGCAGTGCCGTGGCCCAGTGGTGGTCTCTTAGGGACCCTGCCGCCGGTGATGCTGGCCTGTGATTGTATTTCTTGGCTTCTTTGACTCACTGGACATCCCTCTTCCCAGGGTGCACCGTGAACCAGGACTGCACTGAGCTCAGGAAACCAGCAGACACCTGCGAACTCAGTCTCTCCGTGCAAAGCTCACACCTTCTCGGAGGAGAAAAACCGAACCAAGCAGCCACGAGCTCGGACGGTATGAGCTGTGGGAGAGGAACGCTGGGGCGCGGCGCGGAGCAGAAGGCTTCTGAGGTTTCCTGCTTGGTTTTGGTTTTGTTACCAGCAATGTTTGCGGTACACAGTGATCACAGGATCGGTGGGGAGCTGAG